CCTGTAAAGAGGATATTTTCTCAATTAAAAATTATATCTGCAAAGAAGAGTCAATTGAAGGTATTGATGATTTCAAATTGATTAACCATAAAAATTAACTTTGACAAAGATCATGGGAAATTTTGTTGTTGTTTTTCTTATTAAACTTTGTTTTGATGGGTCTCAAAATTCTGTGACAGATTTTGGGTCAAGTTGTTTCCATTAAAAAAGTACTGATTTTAAAAACTAAGAACTTAAAAACTGCCACACAAAAAAACAAATGATCCACAAAACATTCTCCTTTTCTTCTGAAGAATTTATGATGTATTGTAATCATTAACCAGTCTTTTTCTATTAAACTTAAATGGCCAATCGAGACAAACAGTTCTGAGACCGTTCTTCCACCACTAATTAAGACTGGGTTGGCAGCATTGAAGATGATATTCGTTTAGCCTTCTGAGCTTTCTGGATAGACTTGGTGACCTTGGCAGCTACAGCTGCCTTGTAACCAAAGATCATGGGAAATGTCATAAAAATTTAAAAATAAGGACAAAATGAAAAAAAAGTTTTTTTCTTCAGAAAAATGCCAATGACATAGTACGAGACAGATGTGACTTAATGAAGCTGATGAGATTATGAAATAGGAACTAAGAATAATTATTTTGTTTAACTTATGTTTTAACATTCAGTTAATTACGAAACAAGTTAAAATTTTTTTGTTTTAATATAGATTGTTATATTAGTATACATAGTATGTTATTTTTTGAACAAATTTTCTTTATTTTTTGATATGTGTTTTAAACTTTCTATTTTGAAATAATTTCCAACTAGTAGACAAATTACAAGATTAGTATAAAGACATTTTATGTACTCTTCATACAGATTCACTAATTTTTAGTATTTTGCCTCATTTATTTTAGCATGCTTTTTCTAAATACATATATTTTTATTTTCTGAATCACTTGAGAGTTGGTTGTCTATATCATATCCCTTTACCCCTTAATACTTAATTATGTATAAAATAATTTTAGTTTTGAAAATAGTTTTTGAATTAAGCAATCTTATAGGTCATCCAGTGTCATCCAAGTTGTCATTTAGTAAATAAATATTTTGAAAAATTATATAATTTCAGTTACCTCAAAAGTGTCCTAGTCTGGACAGCCATACGCATAGACACCCTAACAATAAGACTATAACAGACACTCGCTATGTATTTGTTGAGTAATTGAGTTTGTGGCCTCCTGCTTCCAGTGTTGCCTTTCAGCTGTATGGTGGTGATGACTGGTGTGTTGTGGAATCTTATGATCCATACTCACTTGCCCTGTGCCACATACATAACGCTACACACAT